CCCCGATGTCCCCAATCCCCCCAATGTCCCTGATGTCCCCAATGTCCCTGCTGTCCCCAATGTCCCTGATGTCCCCGCTGTCCCCGATGTCCCCGATGTCCCCACTGTCCCCGCTGTCCCCAGGAGGAGATCGAGGCGTGCGTGGAGCTGCTGCAGGAGCGCTGTCGCCGCCTGGGCTCGCGGCTGCCGGAGCTGCTGGTGCTGCCCATCTACGCCAACCTCCCCTCGGAGCTGCAGGCGCGCATCTTCCAGCCCACGCCCCCCGGCGCCAGGAAGGTGCGCTGGCCCTTTAAGGGAGGGCGGGGCGTCGGGAGGAGGGCGGGGCTTAGTGAATAAGAGGTGGGGTTACTTGTTGGGGAGCGAGAAAGGTGCGCTGGCCCTTTAAGGGAGGGCGGGGCCTCGGGGGTGGGCAGGGCCTCAGGAGGGTGGGCGGGGCTTAGTGGCTAAGAGGTGGGGTTACTTATTGGGGATCGAGAAAGGTGCGCTGGCCCTTTAAGGGTGGGCGGGGCCTCAGGAGGAGGGCGGGGTTTAGTGAATAAGAGGTGGAGTTTTATTGGGGAGCCAAAAAGGTGCGCTGGCCCTTTAAGAGAGGGTGTGGCCTAATGGGGTGTGGCTTTTGAGGGTGTGGCCAAGTGGGTGGGGCTTATTGGGGTGTGGTCATAGTGGGGCTTTATTGGGCACGGCCTTCAGCGTGGGCTGTGATTGGGTGGAGCTTCTGAGTGGGCGTGGCTTGTGTGGGTGTGTCTGGCTGGAGCATGGCCTGTGCGGGTGTGGCTTGTGTGGGTGTGTCCAGGAGGGGCGTGGCCTGTGTGGGTGTGTCTGGGATGGGCAGGGCTGTACAGGTGTGTCGGGATGGGGCCTGTGTAGGTGTGTCTGGAAGGGGCGTGGCCTGTGTAGGTGTGTCTGGAAGGGGCGTGGCCTGTGTGGGTGTGTCTGAAAGGGGCGTGGCCTGTGTGGGTGTGTCTGGAAGGGGCGTGGCCTGTGTAGGTGTGTCTGGAAGGGG